TAGGGATAGGTCTGGTGTAATCTCCTATATAACTTGCAAAAAGAAAATAGAGTGAAGAATGTAGGTTCAGATGTTTCTACTGAAGATGAGACTTTGGAGGAAACACAAATTTTAGAATTTGACTTAGCTCCACTTAGAAGAGAAAACAGATGCTTCAGGAACACAGAGCTCCACAGAGCAGAAACACTTGTGATACCATTGAAATACCTTGAGTGGTAGTATTGGAATTCAAGAGTTCTGACCATGTGTCACAGGGCTATGCTGGGGAACTTTTATTTTTATTCTATTTTTCTCCTTAAACAAGAGCACAACAGAATATGACACACTTTTCAGGCTCCATATAATAATGAGCAAAGACAGCAGGAAAAAAGAGTCAAATTAATAACAACTTTGGTGCAATTTAAAAAAGGAAACATGAAAGAACAACCTTTCAAAGCAAATAATCAAATATTATTATCAAAAGCATCCATTTAGTAAAGCAGGTGGCTTCTAAATGTAGAATATCCAGGCAACACTTGATAGAAAAAAATCTGTGAGAAATTAACAGCTACTTCCTACAAATTCACTTCTAAAGACAGACACTGACTTTGGAAAAATATTTGTTTACTGTTTATTATTTAGATAAGAATTTGCCATCATTTCACACAAAGAAGCTGCTCTCTGTGCACTCTGCCCCACCAAAATCCATACAACTTTGAGAGCATCACTCGGATCTTCCTGCTCATCTCAATGCTTCTTTTCTCCACCTATGCCAAGAAAGAAACTTCACCTTGCTAATTTTTATTCCTCAGGTTGTAAAGCCAAAGTGGAACTAACAACTTTATTGAGCCCATTGCTGTAAGCAGACACTCACCAGAAGACAGTGAGAATTTATGATCAAAGAAGAGCTCAGGCTGGAAAAGACCCTCAAGATCAGCAAGTCCAGTTGTTAGTCCAGCACTGGCAACTCCAACTCCAAACCAGGTCAGTCAGCAACACATCCACACAGCTCTTAAATACTTCCCTGGGCAGCCTTTTCAAATGCCTGAGCACCCTGTCAGGGAAGAAATCTTCCCTAATATCCAACCTAAACCACCCCTTGCACAACTTGAGCCCATTTGCTCTTGTCCTGTTCCTTGCTACTTGGGAAAAGACCAACACCATCACCCCACTACAACCACCTTCCATGCACATGGAAGAACATGACATAAATATTCAACAAAGTCAAATGCCTTAGCAAAAAGGTTATAAAATATGCAGGAGGGCCATATTCTTTCAAGCTTGAGAAAAGGAAATAAAGCAAGATCTTTACTCACAAGGCAGAAGAACAAGTTCCCAGGGATGCTGCAGCTGAGAAACAACGTCACTGTTGCAACAAAGGCCCCCTCAGAGGCTATTTGAATCAGCTGCCCACCCCATTAACCTAATAGTGCCCAGCCCTAAGAGGGAAATCCTGGTGCTAATGAACTCCCTGGCAATCTTTCTTGGATTTGAAGGGCCAGGATTTAAAGTGGGAGTTGAAGTTCATTGAAGTTAAGGGTTCCTGTTACTGGCACTGATGCTCACTGTCAATTTCAGTGCTTCAGCTCCACTCAGGAATAACATTATGGTGAATATAACAACAATAATGGTATTTACATCCTGTGCCTCCCCTCTCTTGGGCAGAGAGCAAAGGCAAAACTTATAGGCAAGTATTGGGCCACTTGAATCAACAGCTAGGGGAGGAAAAGGGAGGCAGCCCTACTCCCAGTGAGGCAAGGGACGAGGGGACAAGTTTCTGTGGGAAGCAACTACCACGAGGCACTGCTAGATACCCCAGTTTTGATGGGATTGCCTTTTAATGCTGCTCAGCCCTGCAGGGAGGGGGCTGGTTAGGAAACCTCATGGGGTGCTGTCAGCTGCATTTCAGCTCCTGAGTGAGGCAGGCATGAAGGTCAGCAGGGGCAAGTGGCAGAGAGGGGCTGCAGGTTCTGATTTTTGAAAATTCTGTTCAAACAGAAGAGAACTTCACAGAGTCATTGCCCTGTGGTAACTCACTAAAGTCGTGCTATAAATTAAAACAGGAGTGTAAGCCAGAAGAACGTGCAGCATATTCTGCGGGCACCCCGCAGTGCTCAGAGCAGGACAGAGCAGCATCTGCAGCCTCTCAAGAATGTCTTCTGCTCTTTTAATAGTTCTCCTCAGTGGGGTGTGGAGGTTTGTATCACGTATCTTTCTCCCCTGGCTGAATCAAAAATAGTGCACTGAGTCACTGGTGACAGGCAGTCCCTGGCCACGCTGAGCACGTGTCCCCCAGCTCCCCCAGGCCTCCTCCTCACCTCCAGCAGCACTCCTGCTCCAGGAAGGGCTGCAGGGAGGAGAAAATCCCTCTCTCTGCCACAGCACGTGCTTCCAGCAGCTCGGCAGATGATGTCTGTGGATCCAAAAATACACTGAAACGGGTGGGAAGTTTTCTGCTGCCTTCCAGGATGCTTGGATCAGGGCTGTCGGGTTGGAGATGTCCACCTTGGAACGGGGCAGCCGGCCCTGGGTGAATGAAGTTCCACATGGAACATGCCCTGCAAAGAGCACTAATCCTGCCCATTTTTAGTGGGAATGCCAGTATGACACTGAGCACAGGGAGAGGGAAAAGGTGTAACCAGGGAGCCTTAAATGCAGTGATTTTGAACCTTAATCTCTTCTCCTGAACCCTGTTCTGAAGAGCTAAAACACTTCCCCTTCCACTCAGACCTGCAAAATGAACAACAGGGAGCATAAACCCATAGTGGTTCACCAATATCCCGATCCTAAGAATAGATATTTCCATGCTTTGTACAAGTAATCGCTGTGAAAATTGCAAGCTGGGCAATTTCACAGAAGTTTTTGGGTTTTTACTGTCTATTTTGAGTTTCTATTTTAGTCTTCAAAACATGTTTGTGCTTTGCCCCAAATCAAAACAATCTGTGCTAGCACACCTGCAACAACTACCTTCAGGGATGACTGAGGTACAAAGAGTAGAAAAGGAAGGAAAACACAGAGAAACAAATTCAGCTTTCCAAGAGCTGTTAATTACTCATTAGTTTGATATTATTAACTATTAATACATAGCTAACCAGAGGGCTCAGACCCCCACAAGCCCTCCTAGCACTGCTGCCAGCAGGGCTCTGCTGTGGCTCCTACCTTGCTCAACAAGCAGCAATATTTACCCACGGGGTTGAGCAATGCTGGTCATGCCCAGCCCCAGTCTCCTTTTCAGGGCAGCCTGAATTTTGACACTGCCCCTGCTGCTAATCTGTGCTAGCATGGAGACCTTGGCCTTGTTAAAGACTCTCATTCCAGCCTCCCTTTTAGGGAGGTATCTGCCTTTTAGGGCTCTAATGTCTCATCTCAGCATCGTCACACCTTTGCTGGTGCTTCAAAATAAAATTGTCTATTACTGCTTGCCATTGTCTTCACACTGTGTAACTTTTGGATTTTAAATGTACTTATTTTGTATCCCTGACTCTCTTTTCCCTTATAATGCCATCTCTTCAGTTCAATGCTGGCTTGTATCTATTTTACAGGGACATGTCCCACCGAAGTACACCTAATTTTGTATATATATGTTTGGATTTCATTAGGAAATGCAACATAGGAACTGAGATGCCCAGGGGCTCACCAGCAGTCACTACAAGTATTTTAAAGCTGTGACATCCAAGTGTTCTGCAGTCTCCTTTTCTGATTAAGCAGCTCTGTGATCCTGCTCCCCATCCAAGCAGCTCCACAAACTGAAAGAAGGGAACAGCGACCCTGGGAGCACAAACAGACAATGGTCTCCTGAAGCACACAGAAGGCAATTCCACTCACTCAGCTGGTTCTGCTACGGCCAAAACTCCTCACTGGGCTTCCTGCTTGTATCCACGTCCACACCTGAGCCAGGGCAAGCCTCCAGCTTCCCTCACCTGTGCCGAGGACAGGAGGGAGCCACAGCTCTCCCGGCTGCTCAGCAGGATCCAAACTGTGACACCACCTCCCGACAAGAGGCGTAGGCTGAGAAAGAAAGTTCAGAAGCCCACTCGCTTCTGAGTTCAACTATGGAAAACACAGTGCTTGCTCACTGCTAAGAACGAGGACTTTTCTGTGTAAAAATGATGGCACTGACGCCTTCCTCAGAGCCTTCCCACGGAGAACGGGGGTGGGCAGCAGCAGCAGAACTCTAAGCACAATTTCAGACACCTGTGCTCCCAAATACTTCATAAATGACTAATTGAAAGGATTCCCGAAAAGAAGTAATATCCCTAGTGCAAAATAAATACACTCATCCTTCCTTGCTCTGCCCCTAAAATGCTTCTGAATATTTGAAATGGTGAAGGAACAGAAGGGTTTTATATCACAACAATCAAAATCACCAGCACTTTGATTCAAATAATTCACTATGGTGATTTCAACAGCACAAATCCTGCCTTCCTCATAAAATTATGATCCTTTTTGGTTTGCAAGACTTCAGAAAAATCAGGCACATTTTTTAAAAAGAAGTGACATAAAAGATGCTCCTGACAGCAGCCCAATGAACAGAAGCTGTTTCTTCCCATCCTTCCCCTCCCATCTCACAGGGAACAAAGAGAATTTTCCACCTCCCAGTTTCACAGATTTCCCCGGGGCAAAAAGAAGCCTGCATCCGTTCCTGAAAATAGCTGCATGGTATTGCTGCTGAAACTGCCTCACATCTAGGTCAGATCTTGAGGAGATTTGCAGCCAGAGCAGAAATGGTTTTATGAGAGAACCTTGAGGTGCCTCTTACACACTGAAACAAGGCACTAGGGAGACTTATGGACAGGCCAAAGAGTTCAAGTCACTGGAAAGCCAACTAATATTTTGTGTACGACTCTTGTGAGAGCAGAGCAGTGATTTTGTGGCAAGTGATAAAGAGCAATGAACTTTCAAAGGAACCAAGGTGCCTGGGAAGGGCAGGGAGCTCTACTGTAAGTGCCCTGTGACAGGCAGTGGGAGACAGGGGCGGTATAAAAAAGAAAGCCAGAAAATAATGTGACAAATCAACTCAGTCTTACAGAAGAAATTTAATCATGTAAGGCATTTAATCATGCCCTATTTAAAAAAAACAAAACAGGGGGATGGTATGATTATAATATAAAATGTGCCCTTCCAAATTCTCTTTGCTGACTACTTGCTAATGCTAATTTTACTGTCATTTTGTTGTGAAATTCATTTCACATTTTCAGAGCTGTTCACAGAATAATATAGGTGCATTGGGGATTTGGAAACTGAGCTGGCATTTATTCCTGTAACTGGCAGTCTGGTAATGCTTCATAAAAGCAAAATACATAAACACCAAAAACATAATAAAAGGTTTTTCATTTTAACCCAATACCTGATTTCACCCAAACGTTGATTGTTCTATTATAGATGCCTGAAAATATTCCACAGTCACTGTGGAAGTTTTCTTACCCTTCTGAATGAGTTTGTCATACAGTTACGCTGCCAAGGCATCAGAAATTTGCCATATTATTGCCAACACAAATCATTTCAGGTATCTGCTGTGAACTACAGAACACGCAAGTCCTGATACTAGATCCTCCTTGAATAATTATGTTTAAAGTAAGTTGGTTCTCTCTGCACAGCCTGTGCAGCCAGGTGTGGGATCCGTTCTGTGACGTTTCTTTAGGTTTTATTTAGACATTATATGTTTTTTTACCTGGGTGGCAGTTTGCCCTGCAGCTAATGCTGGTGCCATGTCCTAATAACCCTGTGTAGAAATAAACTTGCTGCTGTTACCAGGAGCTCCAGAGTGGATTTGCAGGAGTGGGAGAAGGGGAATTGCTCCCGTTGTCACTGTGGGACCGAGAGAGTGAAGACTGCTCCTTCATGATTGCTGGCAATAACAGATCTTGGATCCAGCTAAAAACCAAGGCAGGCACCAGCTGCACAGGGAGGTCAGGATGAGATGGGAATGGGAATTGCTTCCTCAGCAGCAGTAATGTTTTTGACACAGCATCCCAGAAGTGAACTCGCTCCCTTATGCACCCTTCCTTCCCCTAAGCACAAAAAACCTTTGTTTCTTTTACGAAAGGGAAAGGAGTAAAAGGTTTTCCCTACTGCATGCAGATATATTTTCAGCATTCAGCACTGTCCTTTCATTCAAAATATGTAATTCTATTTTTATTCCCTGATTATCTAGCAGAATTCACCGTGACCCAAGGGAGAGGTTAATTCTTGTACTGAATATCCTAGTGCCATGTGGCTTGGAGAAAGGGAATGTTGCTTCTCTTCATTTTGAAATTAAAATGCAGAATTTTCTTATTTCTAATTGATTTCAACTGTATATTATCTGCTGCTCCTTTTAAAGGCAAAGTATTGCTTACTCTCAGAAATGTACAGTACAAAAAGGTATTCCTGAATGTTTTATTTTGGAAGTGTAAAGGCTTTTAAAATAAACAAAAGTAAATATTCAAATACATTTCATACTGCATGTGGTAGGAGTGGCTCCATACAACACAATATGGATGATGCAAATCCAGCAGTTAATTTCTTTGAAACATACAGTATAATATAGAGACACTTCCAGATCTGGTCTTGTGTCATTGCCTGACCCTTTTTTTATCATTTAAATCCAGCCTACTTTATTAATTATTAATGTTTTATTTTGCTATATTGATTGTTCAAGTTAGGAAAAAAAACACCAGTTAAAAACTACTGACTTGCGAACACTGCAAGACCCTAAAAAAACTGCAATCTCTGAGGATAAATATACATTTATTTTTTGAGAAAATGTGTCATTACCTGCAGTTGAATCAACGCAGAATGATCGTGCGATTAAATAAGTCTGAATTGAAATTTAAAGCTGCAGACCATGATTCTCCCTACTCCCAGTTCTGCTCAAAATCTCTCACACCTTTAAAAAAATATAATTAGCTTTAGATTTCCCCGCAATAAATAACACCAGAACATACCTTGTGCTACCAACCTGAATTTTAAAAAAAAGTAAGAGGCCACCTCAGTGTTTTGAGTTCATGAGATCTTTGAGACACAAAGCCCTAACAGAGTTTCCCGGTCAGAAGGCATCAGGAAGGCTCTTCGCTTATGGCAAACTTGGGCTTTAGCTTGACAGACCTCCTCCTCATTGTGCCTTTCGGGGACAGTGGCATGGTGTCCATAATGCTCTTGTCCTCCTCCAGCTGCCTGGCGGTGCACGAGGGGGTGGGCACTTTCACCGTGTTGCCAAATTTGGAGTAGTCCACCGAGTATCGCCCGTCTTCCTCTGCCACGATGGGCACAAACCTTTGGCCCCAGAGGATTTCGTCCGCCAGGTAGGAGGTCCTGGCCTGGGTGGTGATGCCGGTGGTCTCCACCACCCCTTCCAAGATGACGATGATCTCCAGGTCCTCGTGGTGGTGAAGGTTCATGGGGGAGATGTCGTAGAGGGGGCTGTTCTTGTCTATCACGTGGTAGATGATGAGCGGGGAGACGAGGAAGATGCTGTTGCCCCCCACGGGGTTCTCCATCTGGATGTCGATCTGGTTGAGGGGCACCACCTCGCCCTCCAGGCTGGCGGTCTTCTTCACCACCTGCATGCGGATGGTGGCACTGATGATCATGCTCTTGCGGAGGTCGCCCACGCGCAGCATGAAGCAGAGCCGGCCCTCCCGCAGCGCGATGACCGCGTGCTTGCTGAAGATGAGGGTCTCGGCCCGGCGGTGGGCCTGCGACGTCTTCATGAAGATGCAGCCCAGCATGATGGCGTTGATCACCAGCCCCACGATGTTCTGCACGATCAGCACCAGGATGGCGGCCGGGCACTCCTCCGTCACCATGCGCCCCCCGAAGCCGATGGTCACCTGCACCTCGATGGAGAAGAGGAAGGCGGAGGTGAAGGAGTGGATGCTGGTCACGCAGGGCACGAAGGCGGCCGCGGGCCCCGCCGCCCCCTCGGCGGGGTCCCGCTGCAGCCGGGTGCTGTGGTCCAGGTCGCCGTGCGCGAAGGCGATCAGCCACCACACCATGCCGAAGAGCAGCCAGCTGCACAGGAAGGACATGGTGAAGATGAGCAGCGTGTGCGGCCACTTGAGGTCCACCAGGGTGGTGAAGACATCCTGCAGGAAGCGCCCCTGCTCGCGGATGTTCTTATGGGCCACGTTGCAGGCGCCGTTCTTGCCCACGAAGCGCGCCCGCCTCTCCCGCGCGCGGTACCGGGCGTGATCCGGCACATCCTCGGCCAGCCGGGTCAGCACGTACTCCTCGGGGATGATCCCCTTCCTCGAGAGCATGGCTCCGCCGCGCGCCGCCCCGGGCAGCGGGGGCGGGCGGAGGGGCCGAGCGGCGCTGCGGGNAGCCCCCGCCGCCGCAGCCGGCCCGGCAGCGCTCCCCGCCGCAGCTGGGGGCGTTTCTGTACCTTTTCACCCTCCTTTCCTTTCCTTTCCTTTTTTTTTTTTTTTTTTTTTTTTTTTTTTTTTTTTTAATTTCCCTCCGGAGGGAGGGTTTCGGCCCGCGGTTTGTATGTAAACATTTGATACAGGACGGAATTGCCGCCTGCCATTAAGAGGGGCTCCTTTGTGGGATGCCGTGGCCTCATGTCGGGTGATTATTCCGTGAGATGGAGGCGGGGGGAAAAAAGGTACTGGCCAATTTTAAAAAAGGAATTTGTAATAACAGTAGTGATGGCATTGATGATAATAACAATAACAAAACAACAACAATAGCATAACAGTAAAATGACAAAAACAACAACAACAATAATAATAATCTTAAAAATATATATGTATATACTGAAATTCACCTACATGTCTTTTGGTAAGTAGGAGGAAAGCATTAGTCTGATAAATCGCCAGGCAGTGGTAGGAAATTTGAATAAGCTGAATCCAAGGATGTAATGGCTAAACAGACACCTGGAACTAAAGGGGCTCAATCCCTCTGAAAGTTTTGCCAGTTATTTAGAATAAACAAGGTTGTTTTTTTTTTTTTTCTTACTGCAGAGAGGAGACCGTGAAATGATGTCAGCTGTCGCTTCTCAGGAAAATGTCTACAGTACAAACAGCAGTGAATCTTGCAAAAAAAAAAAAAAAAAAAAAAGGCCAGAAAGGGTTAACACCCAGTGACATGAACTTCCAGACAGGCATCAAAATCCTAGAAGAGGCAACATAGGGAGGCAGGAAGCTAGAACCTGTTTGGGACACTGGGATGTCTCTGTGGGTATAAATACATACATGGGCATGCCTGTGAGGATGTGTCCTCCTGACAAGATGCATTATGTAAAAACAGTCTGATGTGGCTTTGCTGCTGTATAAACAGCAATATTCTCATTGATGTGTTTATTTCCTCTGGTTTCAATATTTTGTTTCTATTTCAGTTTAGACACCAACATTGTGGAGTTTTTACAGCATCCCAGGATATTCTGGATAAGAGTTTTTTCTTTAGTACCAATGGATTTGTGATTATTTATTTTTTAGTTGCACGACATGTGTCCATGGACTTTCCCTTTAGTTTTGGCTCTAAGTGCTTCGGTACACACTGTAAACAGCTCTTGGCACTGATTCCCTGGGCAAGGCAATTGTCCAGTTGGTGTCTGGGAATCAGCCAGTTGGGGTTGAAAGTAACTTCCACCACCTACAGCTGCTTAAAGCAGCCCACCTAGGGATTTTGGAATAGAAGTTTGAAGCAATCACCCTGAGCTCTCTGAGCAGTTGTTAGAGGTCTTGTAATTAATTGTTTACTATTACTTTGCACTACTTGTACTTTTTATGTATGACTAGTGGCATGTCCTTGCACACATCAATTCCTTTTGGAGGGGTCAGTTCCCCAGTCTGGTTCATCATTCTTGCTGCTTTGATAAATAAAGCTAGAATAGCAAGAAGGTGCCCTAGCACGTGGCTGCCAGGCCACTGAGTTAGCCAAAGGTAGCTAAGCCCTTTCTCTAGCCCTTTCTCTTCTACATGCCTTCATCTAGTCACCTCCTAGACTCTTTTTGTGCCCTTGGTGTGCATGTCACCCGCACCTACACTTTTAGTTTGTTAACTACATTATTTATATGACAATTTAATTTTTTAAAAAGTTTGGGTTTTTTTTTTAAAGCCCATTTTTCTTTCTAAACATGAAAAAGAAAACCCATAACCCAAAAGGATGAAGTAGATTGAAATTTTACTTGTCAGATGTGTAGTTCTGTAGCCGATGGCAGGCCTTGCAGAATTTTGCAGTGAGCATACTTTCTAAACATGAAAAAGAAAACCCATAACCCAAAAGGATGAAGTAGATTGAAGTTTTACTTGTCAGATGTGTAGTTCTGCAGCTGATGGCAGGTCTTACTTCCAGAATTTTGCAGTGAGCATTAACAGGCTGTACAACACCAGGCAACTCATGGGCAGCATTTTACACTCTTGCAGACATGGACACAGGGATTCCAGAGCCAGTCCTGACTTTTGTGCCGTTTTTCCTGACTCTTTTCTAAGCGTGGTCTTTATTCTGTACCTTTTCCTCCAGAGGGCGGTACCTCCATAAACGTGGAATGGATAAAAGCCTGTGTCGGGGGAGAGGGTTTTAGTGGAAGAGTTAATTTCTGCATGGCCTGGTGCTAGGAACGACCCAGGGAGGGGTGATTTATGGGCAAACTCACCACGTTGCTTTTAGGAATCCTGAACTCTCAGAGCAGTGCTTCCTTGTTTCCAATTCTGCAATGGGACTGTCATTTGCCACCTCTTTTTCTTCATCTCTGAGCACTTAGGGGCTGAGATGGGATAGCAAAGCCAGTGGCTTCTGCTGAAGAATTTCTAGAGCTGTCTTTATGGATCAAGTGACAGATACTTAAAAGAAGAAAGTGACAGATCTTCTGAGTGAGCCAACATATTTGTGTTAACAGCTGCTGAAAACAATTGGGCTCACAGGAATGAACAATCCCACTCTGTAGTAGTGAATCATGAGGGGTAAGTTCTTCCACCCACAAAATAGGTTTTACACTTCAAAACTCCCCCCTCCATTTACTCTAATTTTAATGGCTATCAAACAAGATCTTATGATAACTGTCAAATTAAAATTTAGTTGTTGCCATGTTATTACTCTGCCTTTAGAAGCTGAGTAAAGCTTCAGAGGCTACACAGTGTTAGTCTGACAGAAAGGAAGCCTCATAAATCACCTTGCAGTACGAGTAGGTGGGCAGAAGAAAAGAGATCAGAGTTGGTTATGCAAAGCCCCAAGGGGAGGCATGAGCAGAGCTGGGAAGAGCACTGATGAAGCAGCCATGCTGTGTTTCCTGGCCACATGAAGACAAGGGAATAAACCCTATAAAGTTTTGTATAGTGGAATCACTTATACAAAGCAACAAGAAAACCTCTGGTTGCAGCTCCATGGGCAGCCTATCCCCTAACACCTTTGGGACTGAGACAAGTCCCATCCCTCAGGAAAACTGAAAGCCTGGCTTGGCTTGCACTGTCTTGCAGCCACTGCAGTACAGCCCTTTGCTTAGTGATGCCTCAGTGCCCTACAAACACATTTGTGAGCCTGGTTGACAGTGACTGCTGGGCTGCCCATCTCGTGGCAACGAGGTCTGTTGACCTGGGTAATGTCAGTGAGCCTTACACCACAGAATAATGTTCTTGGGAACCACTTCTGGTCACTGGTGAGACTCTTAATCCTTTGCAGTTAGGGGCAGGAACTCCCTGGCCCCAAACAAACAAGACCAGTTTAAATGTGCTGAGGAAATGTCCTCGCCCAGTGGCAGCCAAGAGCCCCCCTGTTCACAGATATTGATTCAGCAGTGTGGTGCCATTAAAAATTGGTAATTGTTGGACATGAATGAGCTCTCCCTACTCTCCTGCTACGCTACTTTGGGAATTACAAGTCCCATTTAAAATGGAAGTGTGTCACTTGCACTTTTGAGTTCTAATTTCTTAATGCTGCAGGTTAAAGCACAGCCTCCTGTCCTTTCCTCCCTGCATTCCCTTCTGAGTGAGGCTGTCAGAAGCTTGTGGAATAGGAGCAAGCCCAAATTGCAGTGCCAAATCCCTGGCACTTCATTAAAAGCACATGAAACCTCACTTCCCTGCATCTCCCCCCTTGCCATTAGAATCTCTAAGAGCTTCCACAGAGGGCTGCAGAGCCTCTGCAGTGTGAGTTTGAGGAGTCCTGCAGAGTGGTGCTTTCCTAAGCCTGTACAGGATGAGATCCTGCCTTAGACCAGTAATGGGAAGGCAGGAGACAGCACGCCCAGGGGCTGTGGCACAAAGCTGCTCTGTGCCCTTCTGCTTCCACTTTTCCTCTCTTAGCCCTAATGGAAGCCTGGTATTGCAGGGTGAAAACTCACCAATTATTCTGCAGCCATTCTTTCCTGGACACTGCCCAGCAAACAACTCCCTGGAGGAGGAGAAAGCTCCCAAATGGCCTTTTCCTCTCTTGAAAGGTGGTAGGCAATGACAGAGCTCATGCCTTTCATCTGCATCACCACATCCTACCTCCTGACTTTTACCACTGCTCATTCTACACTCTCCTCTGGTGCCACTTACCTGCCCTCCATTGCTGCCCAAGTGACAGCAGGGATGTGCTGCAAATACTCTGCTCTGGAACTGGTGACACAAACAGCAACAACAGTTCTTCATTTTCCCTGGCTCTCTGCTGCAGTGCCAGAAGTAATGCCTTAAAATATCACATATCCCATGAGAACACTGAGGTGTCTTCTAGAAAATAAAGCTTTTAAAAACAGGTTCCAAACTAATTGAGCAGGCTAAAGAGAGGGAAAAAAAAAAAAAAAAAAAAAAACAAACCAAAAAAAAGATAAAGAGCTCTCCTAAGCACTAGAAATCCTTCAAATAGGGGAAGTAATGAAACAAAAAATGGATGTAAAAGGTAAACTTGCTGTAAAAAGAATAAGTGAAAAACTTATTGTAGCCTTTATTGACATTCTAACCCTCCATTAATGAAAGAGTCCTGGAATGACTGTCACAGGGCACGGATAAGTAACTGTCTGGCTGAATTAGGATAATTTCAGTGGTTAAAAGTTATCTGAAGTGTACAGAATTTATTGGTAAGGGTCACAGTAAATCTAGAGACAGCATAACACTGGGTGAAATATGTGAAACTGGGAGATGAGTCAAGCTCTCATGGCCCTGAGCTGCACTGAAAGGTTTAATGCTGTTTATTTACCAGACTTGGAGGGATCATTTCCAGATGAATTGGTACATCTGCACTGGTCTGGAAACAGTGTACATTAAACACTGATGCTTTATCAGAGCCTGCCTCCTCTCAGCTTCTTGACAGTTTGGGAGGGAGTCAGCCTCCACCCTGCTTGGAATCAGTGTAATAGTATTCAGTGGGCAGAAAGATGGAATCAGATTGTAATTTATTTCCAGACTGTATT